CCCTGCCGATCCCCAGCGCGCGCCACAGACAACCCGCCGCGGAGCGATCAGGCTATGCAACCCTCCGTGCGGAGAAATGGAGCTCCCACTGCCGAACCTCGCACGATGGAAACCTGTCTATTAGATTCTGTAGCGCCTCAATTTCACTGGAAATTCCCAACAAGATATCCTTCAGCCATTTCATATCTTCTTTCACTGGCTCAGTGATGCGGCGCACTGGGGTGATGCACTCCCTTCGCCGCCATCTTTCATCCCCCTCCTCCTGCTTTTATTAGGGGCAGCTGTTGCCTTGTTTGGAGATAAATTTATCTCAACTTTGCACCAAGCTAATGCATATGCATGGAAGTCATGCTAAGCAGACAAAGTAGTAAACATTCTCTATTTAACCTAAAGTTAACCTCACATGGCCTAAAATAGTTTTCAATACTTTAATTTCATTTGGAAATAGAGTTTAAACAAAACATCATTTTCTTTTACAAAATACTATTACTAATTTCATTTTCCCAAAAGATTCTTAGCTTTTAGATGACTTCCTTTTATTTATTTATTTATTTTTTTACTTTTTTGGTTCTTTTTAGTTATACGACAGTAGAATTCATTCTGATATAATTATACAAACATGGAATGAAAAAAAAATATATATATATCCCCATTCTTATGGATATAAACAATAGTAGGATTCTCTATGGTGTATTCATATATGTACACAGGAAAATTATTTTGGATTTATTGCACTGTCTTTCCTTTTCCTATCTCCTCTTCTCTCCCTTCCCTTCTTTCCCTGTTGTCTAATCTACTGAATATCTACTCTTCCTCTCTCCCTCCATATTGTGGTTAGCTTTCACATATCAAGTGAAAATATTCAACCTTTGGCTTTGAGGACTGGCTTATTTTACTTAGCATGATAGTCTCCAGATCCATCCATTTACTAGCAAATGTCATAAAGTCTTTCTTCTTTATGTCTGAGTAATACTGTTTTGTACATACATATCACATTTTCTTTATCCATTCATCTGTTGGTGGGCACTAAGTTCATTCCATAGCTTGGCTATTGTGAATGGAGCTGCTATAAACATTGATGGGGCTGTATCACTGTAATATGCTGATTTAAAATCCTTTGGCTATATACCAAGGAGTGGGATAGATGGGTCAAATGGTGGTTCTATTACTAGTTTTATGAGGAATCTCTATACTGCTTTCCAGAGTGGTTTTCAAACATGTTTAAAAATAAGTGAGTTCAATTTCTTCTTATGGGATTCAAACTACATTTTTTCCCCCTAATAGCTATATGATGTCAGGTTCATTTGGTTAAAAATTCAGTTTTTCAGAATGTCTTTGTACTACTCTTGTGGATGATGTTATGTTACCTCTTGACATTCAGTATTGTTGGGACTTCATGAATTTCTGGGGAATGATTAATCAAAACAATAATATCAAATATCATTAAATAAATGTCAAAACAAAGTAGTTATATTATTTCCTGTTTAATTATAATAGAAAAATTTAAATTATTTTGCTTATTTTATCCTAATGAATATATGATTGTAAGAGTCTGAAAGCTAAAATCCTTAGCAGATAGAATGACAAAAAAAGAAAAAAATTCTTACCTCACAAGAAAACCTGGGTGATCACTTTAACTGGATAATCACTTTAACTGGTCGAACAGGAATATACATAATGTGCTATTGTTTCCTTACTAATAGATTTTTCCAAACAAGTTGCTTCCAAAAATATTTTGTAAGCTGTCATTAGCTTTCAGAGATGTCGCTTTAGGTGGGAAACCTTGGTGATCTATCTCACAAAGCATGGCTAGAAAGAAGAGACCCTGAAACTGCTAAATGAGAACTGAAAAGGGTCTTGTGAAGTCGTGACCCTTTAAAGGTGTTGGTTTACAGAGTGTGAAACAGGCAATTTACTAGCTGTACCCAGGAAGCTACTCTGAAAATGCGATGGTAGGGAATCAGCGAAAAAGTCATTCTGAAGATGGCTAGATACCACCCACAATTAGTTTGGTCTAACTTCTTTGATAGGGGAAATTTCTTAATTTGGAATACAATTCAGTATTTCAACAGAAGATTATTAACATGAAATGAAATCCATTACCCACTCTGCTGTTTTTTTTTTGTTTGTTTGTTTATTATTTTTTTGGACCATTTTTAAAACTCGCTAAGGACTATGCTCAAAATGGGACATGCAAATTCCTTATCAAAAGCTGCACAGTCAGAACCCATTGCTGGGTTCCAAGCCTTCTGTGTGGACCTGGAGAGCCAGTGGGCCCACTGCCATCCTGTTGAAACAGGAAGAGGAGATCACTCTACCTCTCTCATTAAGAATCGATTTTGTGGAAGTTAATTTTAGCTTACTTTTAAGGGCTAGATAAGCAGATAAGCATTATTGGGTGCCAAGAATTTTAGAATGTTTTTCATAATGTGGTCAACAACCCATTTTTAACATACCCCTTGACTTTTCTAGATTTTATGAGGTCCATAATTACATTTTTTAGGGGGGTGGTGTGATATTTCAATACATGTATCATAATGTGTAATATCTGGTCAGGGTAACTGCAACATCCGTCACCTTAAACATTCATCATTTCTTTGTTGAGAACATCCAAAATTCTCTCTCCTAGCTAGTTTGAAAAGTGAAACTATTGTCAACCATACTTATCCTGCCATGCTATAGATTTAAATTTTCTTTGATTTATCTATATGATAAATATACCCAGTTTAATTCCCATATTCCCAAAGAGGTAATTATGGAAAGACATGTCAATAAACTGTTTTTTTTTTCTTTTTTTTTCTTTTTCTATTTGGTGGAGCTGGGAATTGATTCCAGGGCCTCATGCATGCTAAACAAGTGCTCTACCTCTGAGCTATAAGCTATAGCCCCAGTATTGATAAACATTCTTAAAGCTCTTTGACTTCCTTGGAAAGAATGGCTTTTTAAAAAAAGATTCCTTGAGAAAATATTTAGAGACTCATTAATACCGGGTTAAAAAATCTCTAAGTTTTAGAAGTCTTAAAAACAATGATCTTAAAATAGTGCTTAAAGGTCAAACATTAGTATAAGTTTTGTGCATGTTTAAGAATATGGGATGTATACTTTTCTTTGATTACAAAGTGAAGAACAGAAATTATGTCATTTTAGGTCTCACTGTTATGTGAGATATAGCTTCTAATTAAATGAATTGTCTCCTTTGTTTTGTGGAACTTTTTCTCCTTCCAGGCCATTCTGAATGATGTTCTCATACATCTGTTCTTCTAGAGCTAGTGGAAGTCTAAATCCATGTCACCCTTTATAGGAAAGCAGCAGCCTAACCACAAGAATAATTTCTTTTTTGATAAACAGGGCCAATGTCAGTCTCTCTAGAGAGAATGAACACACACACACACACACACACACACACACACACACACACACACAGCCTATATTCAGGGCCAATTTTTTTCTTCTACCCCCAACTAATAAAATCAGGAGGCTGCAAGGAGGCTGAGCGGTGTGCAGTTTGATGTCCTCAGCAGGATACGGGGAGTCAGAAGTGACGCTGTAAATCCAGCGCGGGGCTTCAACACTGTGTGAAGTGTGGCCTGAGCCTCGGAGATTTCCCTTTGATGCAAGTTCAGTATATTAATGGGAAAAGCATTCACTTTTATTTGTCTGTACTGTCTGCGACGGCGAGGCTGCCTCATTTAGGTTGGGCGGACATGAAAATACACAGAGAAGCAATCTGTTGCAAATTAGCACAACTCTCCTTTCATTTGCTAGCTAGTAATTAGGAGGGGTTAAGAAAGTGTAACTTATCAGATTGTATAAGCATATCTGCTTGTGTGGACAGCAAGCTTTCTCCCAATTGCCCTAGGAACCCTGAGGCAATAATCCTTCCTGGATGTCCACTTGATCCAAAAGAAAACCTGGGCGTGTGTGGAATATACACACTTTGTTGGGTTGGAAATTAATGTCTGAGGAGCATTAATGCTTTTTAGTACCTTACCTTTCTTTAGAGATGTTTTTACTCTCCCATTTCCAAATAGCCTTGAAGTCACTGCAGAACTCATACCACACCATAAACACGTAGCCCGGTGTGATCTCCTTCTCACCGGCCTTTGGCTTCATTCCAAAATATCCTACTGTTGTCTCAAAACTGCAACAGGTAAGGGGAAAAAATGGAGAGAGGTAGACGATGAGAAACTGTCAATACCCAAACCCACCAGGGTGTGGAAAAGCGGGTAGCTTGCCACACACCTATTCTCTAAAGATGAGTTCTGGCTCGTGGCTACTATAGTATACCCTAAGCCTCAGAAAACTAATTTGTCCAAACTGATTTGCCAATAAGTACCACCTGATTGGGGAAACTTCTTATATCTATTAAAAAACAGCACATATAATCCAAAGAAGTATGTACGTTAAACTTCTTGAGTTTGTTCTTCATTTCAAATCCATGTCGCTTACCTGCTCTTCATTTTGTGTTTAATGACTACAAGACTGATGATATACTGACTCAATAGCATTAGTAGTAGTCAGGTAGATGTCCATTGGGAACAACTAAACTGCTGAATGTTTCAAGGAAAATCAGTTCTATCTGTTTTCTGGCATACTCTGGCTTTGTTATCTTGCATTGAACCCTCAGTATCTATGACTCAGTTTTCTCAAGGGTACAATAGGAGACTCAGACTATATGATCTTTAAGAGAGTTACATTTAGATGCTTGATACCATATAAAGACACAATCTACCAACAAACAAAAATAGATATAATTGTGAAACTAGCAATGTTTGGATGAAAAATCACCTCTGATCTTGAGAAACGATCTCCAATCCAATCAGAAAAGAACTCAGATTTTCCAGAGTAGATTTCTAGATATCACTAAGACCTACCCCGTGGAACCTCACTGTGTAGCCGACTTCCCAGGCCTCCCAAGCAGCCCTCCTTGGAGGCACTAGCTTTGCAGCAATTTTTAGCTCTGAACTCAATCTTTCCCTCTTACCCTCACCCACCCCAAGCCACACAAGCTCATTTGCCACAAGCAAGAACACTTAAATAGCCCCCTTTTCTGGGGTGTTGGAAACTAATCAAAGCAGGAGTGGCTGGCCAGGTTTATTACTCAATACCCTATCATCTGTTCAGACACAGTGTCTTTTTTCTTTTTCTTTCTTTTCTTTTCTTTTTTTTTTTTTTTTTGTGACCGTCCTGAATACTGAGTTCCTAATGGAACTCTATTCAACGGCACATATAAAACCCTGAAGTCCCATTACTATTATGGAGCATACTTTCATCTCATTCTCAGTTATTGGGCAATATGTATCTCATAAGATTTTATCACATTTCACAGATGAACTGTTAATTGATTCCATGGCTACGATTAGGTGAGATCCAAGCTGGAGCTACAGCTCTGAGTCCCATAAATTCTTTGTGCTTCTGTAAATAACAAATCTGTTTTTAATGCAAATTAAAACTACTGGTCAGGGAGTTTTGGACCCTGGTTATTAAAAGACTGAAGTGCATACGTGGAGAGAGGCAAGGGCTGTAGTAATCTCTTAAGGGGTTCTCTGATAATTCCAACCAGTAATCAAAGAAAGTAGCAAAGTCCACTCTCTGCCCAGACATGATTTCTAATGCTGTGGCAGTCAAAATACTTATAAAACCAAATGCGCACTCTACAGCATATTCAAAATGGAAATTATACTGACTGCAGTATGGGAACACATAAGGGAAGAGTTCCGAAAGCAGCTGAACATAAGTTTCCTGTAAGGTCGTAGGACTTTAGAATTGAAAGGGAGTGACTTTAATATTCTCATTTTACAGATAAGAAAACAGGGGCATGGAAAGATTGAATGACTTCATTCATTGACAGACTTGGGTCTAGAACTCAGGTCCCCTGACTCCCTGGGGGAAATGCTCTTTCTGTTCTTCCCTTCTGTGGTTCATGCTCACTGACAAAGGCACTTAGATAAAATAGTCATTTTCCTGATTTCTACCTTAGACACAGTTGCCCTCTCTATCATACAGAGCCAGAACATTCATCACCCCAGGAGGGCTCCCCATCAGTTCTTCTTTTATGTTCACCTTCAATACAGACACAGATGGACTTGTGCATTAACAGAGAAGAGAAAATCTCCTGTTCTCTGAATTTAGATGAAGAGGTTATTTTAAAGCAGGACATAGTGATGAGCACAGTGAGTCTCATCACTGAGATTCATGGATCACCCACAGCATTCCTTGGAGTCTAGATTGTGAGACGGAGACATTGCAAATACGGGCGCTGCTTCAGAAAATGGCATGATTGTTGGATGGTGGTCATCATGGAGCCTGAGAGAAGCATGTCAACATCCCAGGACCTCCCTTTCCCACTTCTAAACTTCTAAAGTCAGCCACTGTCCCCTTGGCCTTTCCCTGTGAGTCCTTGCTTGCTCCTCTGCATGGGGATAAAAACTAAAAAGAAACACCCAATTCCAGATGTTTTTGAAACTGCTTTGGGAATGCAGAAAGCAAGTTACCCCCCTTTGGAAGAATCAGGGCAAACAGAGTCCCAGAGCATGGTGTGGTTCTGGGCTCTGCAACTCTGACAAAGATGAAGTTGCTCAGAGGATGTCCCTCATTTGATTTCAGTGTAACCCCTTTAAGAAAAAACTCAAAGCCAGACTATGAACCCACAACTGTCTGATAAGATCTAGACTATTGTCCTCCCCAGACAAATCGCTCTTCATTCCAAATTCAGTTTTGATTCACAGAAGACTGATTGTTGAAAACCTTCTGAAATCTAGGCAAGAAAACTGCTGATATTTAGCCACTAGGATAATTTTCTCCAATAGACAGGAAACAAAGAATCAATGATAAGTTTTGATATTTGTAATTGTCAGCAGATAACTCTAAAAAAGCATTCGGCTTTTAAAAGATTGATTTCTAATCATATGTTTTGTTTTATACAATGTTTTTATTTCTCCCTGAGCTAGTCCCTGACTCCTTTTCCCTCATGCTATAATTCCTTGTCTGATCTGTATCATTTAAATTCAGCCAAACATCTTTAGAGTACAGACAACGATTTTATCAAAGAGCCCATAGCAAAATGAACTGTTCTACTTTTACAGCGTTGGGATGCCAAAGCGGAACACATCCACTTACTGGTTTACATGCATGCCTTCAGAATCTGCTTAGGAAAAGCAAATATTCCTTAGCCTCAGAGTAAACTGTTTCTCTTGAGAATAAAACATAAGAATTTACTAAATCTCACACGAATATTGCAACAGTGACCACAACCTCCTTAAAGAGTATAACCAAACAACTGTGGTTTCTCCATTAAAGATGGCATCTGACATATTTCATGAATGACATGAAAGCTAGACTACCTTCGCCACAAAGCCACGGAAAACGCTGACAACCAAAATTTACGATTCCCCTCAGCATAGCTAATGCACAGCAGCAGCTTCGGCCTCTCTAAGGTGGGCCCCTTTTTCCTTTACTGACAGACTTGAAAAAGGATTAGAAATTTGACATCTACCCTGCAGCTAAATTTCTATTTGGTCCAATACCAGTGTGTCCTTGTTGCCAGTCTCTTCTCTATGAGCTATTTCTATAACATAGGCACATACTCATTTTATATATCCAGGAAGGAAATTTTAGTGTCGGATAAGAACAGTAGGGGGCACAAAAATCAAAAAACATAACCAGGTAATCATCTTAGTTTTCAATGATTATCATGACAGATTGATACTCATGATTCAGAAAACTACAAGATGTGCCTTAATCTTGCTTTCATCAGAATTTTAATTTTCTTGGCAATTACAGTAAGAAGCGGGGCAAGATGTTGGCACCTGTCAAAGCAGGGCAGACGGCACTGTCTGGGGGTTTTCAGTACACTCAAAAATTGTGGCTAGAGCAGAGGAAAATGGCTCATTTCTAGTTTGTTCATTTGGATTTAAATTCTTCTCCTCACCTATTTATGAGGCTCATGGTTTCCTTACAGGCTGCTCCCTACCCCTACGTTCTCACCTAATCTTCTAGCACTATTCAAATCAGTCCTGATAAAACATATTTCAGTCCTCTGCCCTGAATTTGAGAATGGCTGTGTCTGTTTCTAGTCACTTCAAAAAGGGAGGGACAACCAAGCCGACTAACCTGTCAACTAAGCAAAGACCTGCAAGGGCTCATCATGCATGATTACTAGGTTATCTGGGATGGAGGGTCTCACTCTGGTGTCTACTGAGAGACAGAGAGAGAGAGAGAGAGAGAGAGAGAGAGGAGCAGGGAAGAGGCCTGGAGTGGGTGTGAGGCTGAACAGAAGACCCGTGAGGTGTCTCCCAATTCTGGGGGGATTTTCCAGATGCTGAAGATGTCCCTTCTTTCCATCTGTCCCATTGTCTATAAAAATCTTGTAGACTATATTTGAGGAAAGATAGAGTTCTCCTAGGTGTTTGTAATAATTGGATTAAACCAGTGGTAAAGGATCAAATTGTTCCTAACTTCCATGAAGTGGCCCAGGAGCAGAGCAGTGGAGGAGACGCAAATGGATGGGAGAGTGTCACAGCACATGCATGAGGCAAGTCACTTCTGAATGATTCTCCATTTCTTGGGAAAAATATCCCCAAGTCTTGTAACAGAGCTTTCACCCCAGCTCCCAATTGAACCCTACCGTTCCTGGATGCATGATTTTAACAAATGGAGTCCAAAGAATGGCTACTTAAACGTTGTGGAAATGAAATAACCCAGTCCCAAAAAGACAGACACTGCATGATCCATTGCTTACATGAGGTCCCTAAAGTAGAGCGTCACCGAGACAGGAAGTAGAAGGATGGCTGCCATGGACCAGCGGAGGGAAATAAGGAGTCAGTGCTTACTGGGTACAGAGTTCTAGGTGGGGAAGATGAAGAAGGTTCTGGAGATGGATGGTCACACAGCAATGGGAATACACTCAATAATGGTGATGATGATGATAAAGAATGTCTTCTCAAAGAAAGAATTGCAAGTAAGTCAGAATTTCTTACCTTTTCTGTGCATTCTCCAAATGGCTTTCTTCCATTTTATGTTCTTTTTTGGCTGTGAGAGAGAAAATAATTATGATTAAAATGATATTTTTCATCACACTCTTTGTATAATGGGATAGCTTTGAGTGCACCCATTGATTTTTACAGTAAATCTGAGTGCAGGGATTTACAAGCACTTGAGACCCCTCACTTTGCTACATCTGCCACACTGCTTTCTTGAAAACAGAGCTAATAGTGACCATATAATCTTGTGTTTCTTCTGGGACACTTTTGAGAGTGAGAGGGAATGATATTAATAATTACACCTGGACAAAGATATAAATTGGAACAGTACAGGGCAGGTTGGTAGATGTGGTCACTTGGGCCACAGCCAGATAAGCTTTGGCATGTTCCCATCACGTTTCCCTCACTCCAAAACAAAGTAAATCCACTAGTATTTGCAGCAGCTCTTCTGGGACTCAAATAAACTCATAAGTACCCACGTATGCACTGTTTCACACTCACAACTCCTTTGGCAGTCTGCTAAATGCCTTGGAAAAAAACATACAAGACAGCTCAGGAAATCAATGGAATGAGATATGTAGTCTGAACCTACAAATTAAGAAGCCATGCTGTGGGGACTGTCTAATAAGGAGGTTTCACTTTTTCAAATACCATCTTCTCTGGCCTGATAAAGAAAAGAACATACCTCACCATCTGACATGTCACCCACTTCCCCTTCACAACCTGGTAATTACCCTTTTCCTTCTACAGCCTCTGTATTTCTGACAGATTATTTCTTTACTCATTTGTCTACCATACAACAATTGAATGTAAGCTTAATAAAGCAGAAACTTCATTCGCCTTGCTTTCTGTTACAGATGTAAATGTGGGAAAGAACCCATGTAAATTATTTAACAAAAATGCATTTATTGGATATCACTTACTTAAAAGGAAAGATATTAGCTTTCCTAAGCATAACACTTTGTTTAGAATATGAACATGAGCTATAGATTCTGAGGCTAAAGTTTTATACTAGTATCTCCAAGCATAATACATTTCAACTACTAAAATTATTTTGCTTAATATTAAACTAATTTGGTTTTGGTCAGTAAATCATTTTGGGCAGGGCTTAGTCACAGTTCCACTCATCTGCTGCTGTATGTTCCTCTCCATGGTCATATACCTAGCAGAAATCTCTGTGAAATAGTCTGGTACTCAGCCCAATCAGATATTGAGAAATGACTTTCAGTAGTGAGCAGGTTCCCCCAAAGGTGAATCAAACTAGCTATTTGTTCTATTTGTTCTCATCCAGTGAAAAGAGGGAGTACAATACCTCTCTCAGGCCTGAGTGCCTTCCTGAAGGACCTTAGCTTTTCTCCATCACTAGTTGGTTTCTAACTGGGTACTTCCACGCTGTGCTAAGTAGATTGTGTCCAAGTTTCATTGCATATGAACTTAATGACAAAAAATACCCCATTCAAAGTGACTTAAACAGTAAGACTTTTTAATAATTCTATGGGAAATAACAGTGTCCAAATGCAAAAGAAGGTACTATGTTTTTTAAAATATGTATTTGCAGTATTGGGGATTGAACCTAGGGCCTCAGGCATGCCAGACACTCTACCACTGAGCTGCATCCCAAGACCTTTAAAATTTTTATTTTGAGACTGTCTTGCTAAGTTGTCCAGACTGGGCTCAAACATGTCATCTTCCAGCCTCAGCCTCCCAAGTTGCTGGGATTACAGGCATCATGTCCAGTAAAAGAAAAGTGTTTTTATTTTTATTTTTTTAGTTGTCAATGGACCTTATTTATATGTGGTGTTGAGAATTGAACCTACTGCCTCACACATGCTAGGCAAGCGCTCTACCACTGAGCTACAAACCTAGCTCAAGAAAAGTGTTATTAAGAAGCAAAGAACATTATAGTAACTCTGAGTTTGGGGGAAAAGAATCTTGACAATGAGAAGAATTAAGAGGTTTGAATTCTTCCCACACCCAAGGACTATGCACAGATAGAAAAGGCCTCCTCCCCATGTGTGACTTAGAAGCTTTTCCAGCCTAAAATACTTCTCTTACCACAACATGTGAAAATTCCAACTATATCATCATATATTTTAAAGTCTCTAAGTCAAATTCAAATATATTAGATGGAAAGAAAATATTTAAAAGTCTAGGGTCACAAGCTCAATTTCTAATATCATCAATAAATAAGGTCATTGGGCTGGGAATGTGGCTCAGGCGGTAGCGTGCTCTTCTGGCATGCATGCAGCCCGGGTTCGATCCTCAGCACCACATACCAACAAAGATGTTGTGTCCGCCGAGAACTAAAAAATGATAAATATTAAAAATTCTCTCTCTCTCTCTCTCTCTCTCTCTCCTCACTCTCTCTTTAAAAAAAATAAAAATAAATAAATAAATAAGGTCATTAAGGGCCAAGTGTAAGCATCTCAATGTCCTAAAATTCTATTCCTTGTTTCTCCATGCTGGAACTGGGGAATCTTATTGTGGGTAAGTGAACAGGGAAGTGGGAAAGCCATGTTCCATTTAGGAGAGATTCAGAAACTTGTCAGCAAAACTTCTACTTTTTTGAGAGAATCTGAAAAGGGATTTTTAAATGAATATCTCAACTTTTAAAATATGTTTTCCCACACTTTGTAGAACAAAGCAACCCTTCCTGCCAGCCATATTGATCTCTGCAACCTCAGACTTCAGCCCTTATTGACTGTCGACACATCATGAAATAGGTGGGTTTGTTCATGCACCCACACACAGACACTATTCTAGGTGCTTGGGTCCCAACAGTGAAAAAAGCAGACAAAGGTCCCTTCCAGTTAGGGAAGACAGACAATCAAGCCTGAGAGAAAAAGATCCAGTGTAATAATTTCTGACCAGGGTTAGCAGGAATATTCCAGAGCATAGATGGATGCCTACAAAAGGAACCTCTGTGGGTTATGAATGAGACATGTCTAGACAGCTAGTGTACAACACATCAGTACTAGGCCGAAAACAGGAGAAGACAATATTTAAATTGAAGAGAGTAAGTCTTAGATGAAAATTGTCCTTATTCTACAACTTTGTCAAATAGTGGCTCTGAATCTATGTATGAGATTTATTTAATCTTCTATTCCACCAAGCCCTGTGGACAGTAGTCTTTAGATGCTATTTTTTTTTTCAATTTAAACTTTGGTACCACCTGTGGGGGTAGGGTGGGTAGGCGTCTTCTTAGAAGAGTAAGTTTGGAGAGATAGTAGCATTAGGAGAGAGAGAAATAAGCATCCCTTGGCTCTTCTTTCTCTCTCCTTCACAAGAAGCTATCTCCCTGCCTGCAGCAAGTTAAATTTAACTCTTTTCCAAATCAGGGGAGTAAAGGAGCTACTTAGAATGACAATACCTTCAAAACAATAAAAGTAATAAGAAATAAGTCAGAATACTAACAATGAGAAGTTTCACTTAACATCGATCTTTCAAACTTCTTCATCAAGGCTATATGTTCATAGTGATCATGATGAATTTCTGGAAGCAATTTGAGAGAGGGAAGTAAGTTCGCTCCATGACTTACCTGTGGCACAATGATTTTTTCTGTCATTGGTAGAACTGGTATTGCTTTCTTAAATTTTAATTTTTCTCCATGAAACAGCAGTATGTATTTTTCATAATTCTGTAGTCAGTGGCATAGAAGCAACAGAGCATCTCAAGAAAATATGTTTTTGTTTAGGAGATATTTATGTAGATTTTATTTGGTGTAGTCTTTACTGAGTAAAGACCACTTTCTTTAGCACAAATCTTTTATGCCTCAGGATTTTATTTTCTCGAGCATTGCATGGTGTTTGTCTCATTAGTTGTCATGAAATTGCCTCAAAACAGTAATTCTGAAACTCATGTATACAATAACCTATACCAAGAGAAGCAGAAATGGCCCTTTCTAGTCAATGATTGTGGAATAAAGGAATGCAAATCAGAATGCAAGACAGTCATGTGCCAACTTTTAAGCTCTCCTTTATCACTTAAATGCTGTGAGTTCTGTTGCTATTTCTACATCTGCTTTTTCTTCCTACCCTGAAATCTTGAAACCGTCAAAGTCATTCATGAGAGTTGAAGTCAGCTTCTTCCAAACTCCTGTTAACAAGGATATTTTGCCCTCCTCCCGTGAATCATGAATGTTTTTAATGACATCTGGAATGGCGAATCCTTTCCAGAAAGTCTTCAGTTTACTTTGCCCAGACCCATCACTATCAACAGCAGCTATAGACTTGAAATGTGTTTCTCAAATAATAAGTCTTGAAAGTCAAAATTACTCCTTGATCAATGGGCTGCAGAATGGATGTTGTGTTAGTAGGCATGAGAACAAAATTCATTTCATTGTCCATCTCCACTACAGCTGCTGGGTGACTAGGTGCATTGTCACTGAGAAGTAATATTTTGAGAGGAATCTATTTTTTTTTTTCTGAGCAGTGGGTCTCAACAGTGGGCTTAATATTCAGTAAACCATGTTGTAAACAGATGTGTTGTCATCCAGACTTTGTTGTTCCATTTGTAGAGCACAGGCGGAACCCATTTTGTATCAGTCTTTAGGGCCTTAGTTTTTCATAATAGTAAATAGGCATTGGTTTTAGCTTAAACTCACTAGCTGTGTTAGCCCAACACAAAACCCAACAAGAAAGTCAGTCTGCTCTCCTAAGCTTGGGAGCCAGGTACTGACTTCTGCTCTGCAGCTATGAAAGTCCTGGAAGGCATCTTCTTCCAAAAGAAGGCTAGAAGACCCGTTTTATCCACACGGGATCTGTCATTGAGTGTGGTCACATCATTGTAACCTCACCAGTTCTGCTGAATCACTTGCCACAGCTTCTAGATCAGCACTTCTTTACCTTATACTTTGATGTTACGCAGACGTCTTCTTTCCTCGAACCTCACCAATCAACCTCCTTTAGTTCCAAACTTTCCTTCTGTAGCCTCATCACTGTTCTCCGTCTTCAGAGAATTAAACAGAGCGGGAGTCTTGCTCTGCATTAGGCTTTGGCTTGGGGGAATGTGTGGTTGGTTTGATCCTCTATCCAGAACATTAAAACTTTC